GCAGATGAAGATATATGTATATTGTATAAATGTAAATGAAATTTTGTTGCACATTTGACTCTCCATACATAGATATTCTATTATATGTTGATTGTTTGCGAAAAGTACGTCAGATATCATTTGAAAATAATTTCCCATTTCACGTTGGTTCGTTTTCATTAATTTTTCTTACTCTATTTATCACCAGAGGCAGAAAAGGGATGTGCATCACATAATGATTGTGACGGTTCATCAGGTATATCGCACCGATTTTGTAATATCTACAACACCCGCTTAAGCATGTTGCATGACAGACACTTACAGACGAACGATTAAAATTTACAAAACAAACGAACACCGACATCCTTTAAATTAAAATGTTTAATAACACGAGTCCATGAAACAAACGAATGACATGAAACAAACAACGTTTTTATTGTAACATATGAAGAAGCCGTAGCAGCGATTGTTTTAAAAGTTAAGAACAAATGACTACAATATCTAAACGAAACTTATAAAGAGATCATTTTTCCAATGACAATAAATAAGAATATCTATAAAATTTGCACCTACCTATCATTGAACATTTTCATATATACATGCAATGTTGTTATATTAGGGATTCTACACACGTTTTGATTTTTTCTTTTTTGTTTAATGGGCATTTTGATTTTGAGCAAATGTTACAAATTATTTAAGAGCATGCCAAAATTGCTTATAATATTCATGCTTTTTAACAGTAATTTTAGATTGATATATAAATGTTATCTGCTATAAAAGAAAAAATTGTAAAAACATTTACTACATTTTAACGGTTTACATCTGTCATTAAACGTAATCGATTTCTTTGGATAAGTCCTGCACTTGTTTTGCAGTATCCTTAAAGAATGGAAGTCATATAAATTAAGTTGTAAATCTAAACAATTTCAGGTCTTTTCGCGGTTTTAATCACACTAATAATCTCAAATAGTAGATCAGATTAGTTTCTTTAGTAAATGGTGCAAGAATGAAGAGAATTATTTTGGCTTCACAAATATTACTTGAATTCTTTTCTAGTTAATTGCTCAATCTTCAGTAGAAGAAAGAAACAGTACAAAGATAAATATTTGGCAAAACACAACGCTGTTTTTGACCAACTCGACCTGATGACCTATGAAGAAGTTGTAAAGTTACCAAGTAAGTATTGCAGGATGGGTTAGGGGATGGCTTTTATTTACACGAATATTTTTTTTTCATCCACTAACAATAGTGACTGATCCAGCGTTCAGGAGAAAAACGTTGGTCCTTTTGGGTGCCCACGGGGTCGGCAGGCGACACATTAAGAACACCCTTATCGCAAAACACCCTGATCAATACGCTTACCCTATACCACGTAAGAATTAACTATAATTTAAACTTATTAAAGTATTTGGCCTTATCATTTGATGAAATGGAATTACAAGAGTTTCACTAACATTTTCATAACACTCGATAGGTAGATATATAAGTACGTATTTTCCCTTATAGATTACTGTTACCCCTGATGACCAGAGATGTGCAAAACGGTTCTTTAAAAGTATTTAAATACAAAATGCAAATACTTTTTTCATTTGTTATTTCTAATGTAAAATACGAAATAGATTTCCCTTTTGTAGTTTAAATGCTAAATACAAAATACGTATTTTCAGCTGCGAAGATTGATTAGTATGTATAGTCTTTTTGTTATAGTTTCTTCAGTTCAGATTAACAAATAATTCTTCCGTATGCTTTTTTTATTTGCCTTTCTCAACCGTTTTAATTGGAAAAAAGACACTAATGCCAGAATAGTTTGTTTAGCGTGAAATATCAGATCCAAAATATGGGTTGCAAATAATTCTATTGATGTAAAATCAACATCGATCAATTTATATCAAAATATTTACAACCCCATTTTGTTTCTGATTTTTTACACGTTGTAATTAGAGAAAGAAATGGAATCCATAGTTTGTTTAGCTTTGGGTTCATCTAATAAGTGAAGTTTTTCAAATAGTTTTCTAAGAATTTTGGATTATAGGCATTTATTAGCACACCACAATATCATGTAGTTTTCAGTTATACACAGGCGTATATCAATTCGATATTGTTTTCCGGGCTGCTTTGTCGTAATTCATAGAATTTTGTAGTTTATTGCTAGAGGTACGATAATTGGTGATTTAGCAGGTGCTGATATCAATTTGGAACTTCAAAATT